CTTTTACGTTATAATTTTTAATATATTAAAATGAATATTTTGCTAAAAGAATTATTCAGGGAATATTTATATGATGGATAAAGTATATTTTGATTTGGACATAAAGCAGCCAATTTTCTATGGGCGRTTCCTCTTTTCAGCACACAGAAAAACAGATATTTGTAGAAAAAGTTATTTATGGTTTCAGTTTTTTTTTTTTTTTAATTTATTTGAATTTTTTTACTGTTATTTTCAGGATTACATGTGATTGAGGGGCTGAATCTTGTTTGGCAAAAAAAAAAAGTCTATTTTTTAATGGTTTTAAAACCTTCTAAATGATTTTGTATCATGAATTTCCCTTAACCATTAAGAGTCCTAATTTCACTGTACACAATTACCAAACAATTATATTTCATTTTGCATTATATCATACGAGTCTCTTAATCATTATGACCACTTAATTATTCTGCATCAAACCATACAATAATTGTCAAACAACCCCTAAGTGAGGTGTACGTAAATTGATATGGACATATACAGTTACCAAAAAAGTTTGTGTAGAACTAGAAGAGAACAATAGGTAGTGACTAGTGAGTTTGAGTCTCCTTAAGGCTCGTTTGGTTTGCTGGTAGGATTCGAAATTGAATTTCACTTTAATCCCATCTTTTGTTTGAAGGAAAGTTTGGATTTAAAATCCCGGGTGTAATGCCCCAAGCCCAAAACAACAAGTTGACTCAATTACATYTAAGTCAACTTAACCATGATAAAAGTTATTGGTAACATACAAGTTTGAGCTTATAAGAAGCTYACAAATTTACTTCTCTATATATATGGGATGAATTGGTACAAACTCCCTCACTTAAATTTCCGACGCCCATCAAACCTGCCAAAAATCCTCCTTTTAATCGAGGATGTGAGATTCGCCTAAGATGTCACAAACACTATCTGAAAGACTCATCACGCCCAATGAGGTTTGTCCTACTATCATGATGGTCCAATGATTGGCTCCAATATCATTTGTAATGTTCCAAGCTCAAAGCAACAAGCTGATCAAATAACCTCTAAATNTCCAATGATTGGCTCCAATATCATTTGTAATGTTCCAAGCTCAAAGCAACAAGCTGATCAAATAACCTCTAAATYAACTTAAAACTATGGTGAAAGTTATTTGTAACYCACAACTTTGAGATTATAAGGAGCTCACAAATCTACTTTTCTATCTATATGTGACAAGTTGTTACGTCGAGATTTCAACCAAGATCCCGTAACTGACGGATTTAGAAATCCTTAGAGATGACTGTCATTCGAAATCCACATCTTACCGAAACAAACAAATCCTACAAACCAAACAARATTTATAAATTATAAAATGGAATTCAGTTATATTCGAAATCCTACAAACCACACACACCAAAGATTCCAAATCCTTACATAAAATACAAATCCTTCAAAACATTTTATCAACCAAACAGGTCCTTTACGGTTTTTGAGGATTGTTTTGACTGTTACGTTTAGCAATCTATGAGATTAGCCGAGATGGTCACTTAATAATTACCAAAAATTATTTAAAATTTATTTTCTAATTATCCTTATTTGGCGTCTTCCAAAAACCGTCGGTAATCCTCTGATGAATTTATATTTTATCGATATATCACCGACGTTCTAGGGAAAAAAAGTAGGTAAAGGCATCCAAAAACTTAGTATATCAATGAACCATCGGTGATCCATTGTAGATTACAGATGAATATGGCCGTCAGTAATATTCTGTAGATGAAAGTGTAATGTCTTGTTTGTAGAATTTCGTCAATCCACATCGAAACTTATTAATTAATAGTTGTACTCGAAATTCCTGAAGACAAATGTGTCGACGTTTTTCGTCCATCATTTAGAATAAGATTTTTTTTTTCCATCTAACTCATATAAAAGATATACTGTACATGCATCATTGTAAACTGAAAGACCAAACGTGAGCAAAAATCATTTACGTACGAATACATGGATAAAAAATATAAAATTATTCAAAATTTCAAAATATCTGATATTACATCTGATGTCTAGGATATATCCAAATGTTAACTACATGCCTGCATCTGAACCATGGTCGATGCAAAAAAAAATCTACTACATAGCAGCAAAATTTACAGTAATCAAAAAGTATTTCGTGTGAAGATAAAATTTACAGTAAATTTTATCTTCACACGAAATACTTTTTGATTCTTGATTTTATACTAATTTTTAAAAAAATTACGTATCTTTTTTACAAATTACACCATTAGAAAAAGGTGTCGCTGATATTTTTAAATGAACCCGCTTTTGAATTTTTTTTTTTAAATTAATTATATTTAATGTTAACATAAATAAAAAACATATTTTTAACGTGAATGAGATGCGTGTATGACAAATGTAGTATTTAATCTTCATTCATATTTCCGACGTTTCTCGTTTGAATTTTCCAATAAAATGCATGATTAATAAGATGGAAATTTTCTTTTAATAAAATTTAATGTGAATACAGACTTCTTATTATATTATATTTGGTTAGAATTAATTTGTTTATAGTGACGTAATAACGTTAACATAATAATATGTTCCAACACTTCATGGTGATTTTGTGTATATTTGAACCTTTAAGATTATTCGTTTAGAGTTAATTTTTAAACTTTAGAATTAATTTGTTAATTAGGGATCAGCTGTGTAGGTTAATTTGTTTATCTTTTAGGTTAACTCTCTAGAATTAAAGGTTAATTTGTTCATGTTTAAGGTTAACATGTTGTATCTCGATCCGCTCATTTAAAATATTAGGTGGAAAATTAAAAATACATTAACAATCGATTAAATTTTATTTTAAAATTTTAAGAGATAATTAAAAAAAAAAAAACTAACATATCTGATTTTTTATGATTTAAGTATTTAATTTATGTATAATACAATCAAAAATATAATAATTTTATTATTAATTTAAAAAAAAGTTATATTATGATATTATTACTAGAAAATTCTTGAATCCATCTATGTATTTGTTTTTACTTCATTTTTAAATAATAAATATATATATAACTGAATTCGATAAATTATCATCCATTTTATTTCAGATATATCTGAATTTTTATTTGTCGTTTGTATTTTATGATATATAAAAAAATAAAATGAAAAAAATGGAGGTAAAAGACAAAAACACAATTAACACCGAGTATGAGTACGAATACGATGAAGGAGGTCATGTGAAGGTTGCATAGGTTTGGCATTTGACAAAACCCATCAGCGGAACCGCACACCACGCTCTTTGTCTTTGTCTTCATCTTTTGGCTACAAAAATATACGTTAAATGTAATATAGAATTTTAAAAATACTTTTTAATATTTGGTAAAATAATAAGACAAATTATACTCCAA